GTAATGTGAACGTTCACACAAAAAGATCGGATTTTTTCAGAAAATCGGAACTGAGCATTAAGACCTGCAGTGTGAACGTAGCCTAAGGCTGAGCCAGGCCACCCTATGAAGGAAGCTCATTTCGGCCGCTTGTAACGGCATCTCATTTTTTCAGTCATGATCCACTCCTCATGACCATASGTGAGGGTTGGAATGGAGACAGACCTGTAAATCAAGAGCTTTGCCTTTCGACTCAGCTCTTTCTTCACCACAAACGACCGAAGCAACACTTTCATTACTGAGGACAAGGCCCCAATCCATTGATCCGTCTCCCGCTCCATCCTACCATCACTCAGGAACAAGACACCCAGATACTTAAACTCCTCCACTTGAGTCAGAGACCCTGAATCGGAGAGGGCATTCCACCCTTTTCCTTTTGAGAAGTCCAACCCATACTGAGAACGAGCTTGACTAGTTTGAGCAAAGAATGCAGACACAGCTCCTGCTTTGGTTATACAGGGACTCAATCACTCTTAATAGCGACCCAGACACTCAATACTCCCACAGCACCCCCCTCAGAGCCCCTCGAGGGGCACGGTCATTTTTRCAAGTCCACAAAACACATGTAGACCAAAGAGGCAAACTTCCACAATCTGATCCACTGTTCCACACCCAGGACAGAAGCCACACTGTTCCTTTTGAATCCAAGATTCCACCATCGATCGGAGCCTCCCTTCCAACATCCTGGAACAGTGTTGTATAAAGTACCTCAGTCATACTTGAATAAAAGTACAAGTATCTTATCATGAAATTACTTTGGTATAAGTTTAATCTTCTCCAAGAATATTACTTGAGTAAAAGTCTTAAAGTATCTGATTTTTTTGTACTTAAATAAATGTAGTAAATTTCTGACAAGTATTAAAAGTAAAAGTATTGAGTAAAAATGAGCGATTAGGTTTTCCAAAATGACATTTATTGGGTGAACTCTCCAAAAAAACTTTTTCTAAAGGCGTGCAGCTGTAATTGATTGTGCAGGGTTCGACAAATCCTATTGCCCGACTGCCCGGGGCAGGTAAAACTCATATTTGGGCAGGGGTATGTGTCCCGATGCCTGCCCGACCGGGTAGGTAAACAATTTCTTTAATTGTTTAATAGGGCCATTTATTCAAAATATCCTGAAAAATAAATGAACAAATATAGCATTTTAAAACACTTATAGAGAGAATAAATCCTTAAAATGCCCACCTCCCCCTGTAGAAATGTTACGTCGTGTCGCGGGATCATAATCTCTCCTTCCCTCCCGCTGCACGTCGCGCAGAGCGAAGCTTTAATAACCATAGTTTTTTCACACACAAGTTGTTGAAGAAAGAAATCTTGTTTTTTCTTTTATCATCTCTGTGTTACCCACAGAGATGATAAAAAAGATGTGGATGTTCGTTCAGTCATAAATCCATTATGTTAAAACAGAGCAGTTTTCTTGTTTATTCCACTTGAGGTGACCACTACATATCCCCCCTTTATTCTTTCTGACCATTGTTGATTTTGATTTGATTGGTAACTGGAAACGGTTTGTTTGTTATCAGATGGGATCCAGTCCACCTGGGCATTAGTTTGTGGGTGAGAGTTCCAGTCCTGGACTCTCCTTGTCCTGTTGTTTGGTGAAAACGTGTTATCAGGCCTATTTCCCCCCTCTGGGTTCTTTGTGGGTGTTTGTGTGGTCCTGATATGTTTTGCATCATTTTGTGGTGGTCTGGTCTGTTTGTGTTGTTACAGACCTGGCACCTTTTGATGTAGTTTACGTCTTTCTTCATTTCTGACCAGTAGYCAATTTGTTTCACTGCTTTGAGTGTCGCTTTATTACTTTTAGTTCTGTGGATGGAAAGTTGTTGGCATGAAGTAAGTCATGGGCATGTGTTAGCATCACAGTCAGTAAGAATTCGGTCAGGTTCGCTCACTCAGCTGGGGACTTCTCCAGGCATGTTCCTTTCCATGTTAATTCTTAAACATTTATAAGAAAATTGATTGCTCACAATTAAGTTGTTAATTCATAATTTGTTTAATTTGTGTAAATAAATGATCTCATTTATTGCTAGATCAAATCAAATTCACTGAGTTGGTTCACTTATTGAGTTTGTTATTCACTTTGCACAAAGGAGATATTTTCCCTAATAAGCCAAGAATCCTTGATAAATAATTTCCTTATAACTTCCATTAAAAGAGGTGTAAGTGACTCTTACATTTACATGTCCACCAACAATTTCACAAAAAAATCTTCACTTTTATTTCCTGTTTTAAGCTGAAGTTTGAATACTAGCTAATAAAACTTTTCTCATGTTTTTCCAGACCACAGCCACCTTCTTTGACACCACCCCACTGGGTCGTATACTAAACCGTTTTTCTTCAGATTTGTACACCGTGGACGATAGCCTTCCCTTCATCCTGAACATCCTCTTGGCCAACATCTTCGGCTTGCTTGGTATGTTAGTTGTAATCAGTTACGGCTTGCCTTGGGTGTTGATACCACTTGTCCTCCTGGCCCTGCTCTACTACCACACGCAGCACTTCTACAGACACACCTCTCGAGAGCTGAAGCGCCTGAGCAGCCTCACCCTTTCACCTGTCTATTCCCATTTTTCTGAGACAATTACTGGGCTGGGAACCATCCGAGCAAGTGGTGGATCTACCAGGTGAGAACCTGGACAGTAGACATGAATATAGAGTTTTTGATATCTAAAAACTTCATGTCAACAGGTTGTTTTTTAAGCACCATTTTATGCCATTTTCAGTCTCTTAAATCAGGTTACTTAAAACAAACTGAAGCCTTTGTAGTCATGTATAGTAATGGTTTCACAGTCTGAGTGCATTTCCACATGCAAAGCTAAAGGGACTGTATTGCTTCAGGTTTGAGGGGGAAAGTGCCAGACGTCTGGAGCAAAACCAGCGCTGCCTGTTTCTTAGCAGTGCTGCCATGCAGTGGCTGGACATCCGCCTGCAGATGATAGGTGTTGCTGTAGTGACAGGCCTTGGGGTCATAGCTGTCATTCAGCACCACTACAGTTCTGTSGATCCAGGTTAGACAATAACTGCATTTGGTCATCGTGAACCAGTAAATGTGATGTTTGCACAAACGGAGTGATCTTGTTGTTCCACGCAGGTCTGGTGGGTCTATCCCTGTCCTATGCTCTGTCCATAACGTTGCTGCTGTCTGGACTCATATTCAGTTTCACACAAACTGAAATGCAGCTGGTGAGCGTGGAGCGAACTGAGGAATACTCTACTGGTCTTCCAACTGAGCCACAGCATCTACATCAACAGGTCAGATTGAGCTGGTGCTCCTCCACTACAATCACTTCAGGTAGTATCTTACTGGGCTGGGACTGTTGGAGACTAGCAGGGGATTCAGAAAGAAAAGAAAATGGGTGAAATTTCATTTGCAGTTTCACTGAATTCTGAGTGCAGCAAGTGAGCTGTGTTTGTGAAAATTACGGCCTATTTTGTGGGCACAACTAGCAACAATATTTTATTGCTCACCTTCAACCACATTGAAGCAGCCTTGACCCCTTTAAAACATACCTTGGTATCCACCCCCACCTTTAAGTTTTAATCTAGAGTCTCCTTTTTAAATGAAGGTAGATATATTTGGACCAGTTTTCAAACAATGATGTGGTTTTCTTGGCCTAGACATTCAGAGCTCTAGCCTTTGGTGTTTTCTATTTCAATGAGCTTTCTCGTTGATCTACAACTGTCAAAAGACTAGATTATGAAAAAAATCTCAGCTTACATCTCACTGAAGTATGAGTGACCAAAGAGCAATGAGCTCATTTTATGTATCAAGTTTGTTTTTAGAATCACAGACTTTTTAAAATCATACAATTTTTTTAATGATAGTTCCTCCACTTGAGTTTTTAAAATGTGTGACTCACATAAGCCCATAAATGTTGCAAGAGATTCTGGAGACTTAGTCATAAATACTGTTTGCCAACTACCCAGTGAGATTAGAGCTTTGTTATTGGTGGAAACTAAATTGAAAAGGTTTGATATGGATTACCGTTTAGACCTGGATTACTGAGCTGCATCAGGACATGCACTGTATAAAGTGTCTTCTCATCTCTCAAGTATCTAAAAATGGAGAGATTTTTTATCTCCTTAACTTTCAGAGATTCTTAACCCATGGGCCGCGAGCGCCACCTTGAGGGCCTCAAAAAAACAACAGTTTTTAACTTTGGGCCACAGAGGGCCGTGGGACCGCATTGATTTTGAATG